GGACCATCGTCTCCTTCATGCAAAATTCTACTTCTTAGAGCAGGGAAAAAGGGCTGCAAAGTTTAAAATGAGAACTCCCAGAACAACCACAAACTGGGAGCTCTTTGGCACTATTGCGGCAACATGGGAAGATGCCATTGTTGACAACATTGACAAGGAATACGATCGACTGGTTCAACACCTCCATGATTGTGAGAGGAACGCAAAGAGAGAGATAGCCACAAAAAAACTCCTGTCATCAAAAACTCTTGAGCTTATTTGCCAATGTGGCTTGGCACAAGCCTCAGGCAACTGCAAGCAAACGTCCAAGCTGGTAAAGTAGTGCAGAGAAGCGATGAAGGAAGACCGGAAAGAGAGGAGAGCAGCAGTGATGGTAGTTACAGCAGAAGCTAGGGAAAGCATTTGGAACGCCCACCTGTCCTTCGCCAACTACAAGACCAAGATGACTGCCCTCCTACATACTGATAGATCTATTAAATCTTCCAGGAGGGCATTGGAGAATACTATCCATTACTTCTACTCTGATCTCTTCGATAGCCACGTCTACCTGCCCACATACCAAATTCCACAGGACGGATATGTCGTTCCCAACATTCTCCCTTCCGAAATCTGATACACCATTTTACTGGTGAAGAAGCGAACAGCACCCGGCCCAGACAAGGTCAGACACGAACACCTAAAGAACCTGCCATCAGTACTCAATCAATACACTGGCTTGGCTCTTCACATGCTACCTGTCTGAAAATGGAAGGTTCTGTCCCAGCGGAAAATCAGCAGGACCATACTACTGTACAAGAAGGGAGACATCCACGACATTGGCAACTATCACCCCATCTGCCTGATATCTGTCATCTACAACCTGTTCACTTGAGTCATCCTGAATACGATTGGCAGAACACTACATAAAGGACAACTGTGCGAGCAAGCCGGGTTCTGCAAAGGATTCAGCATGATCAAACATATCCACACAATAACCAAGCTCATTAAGGTTTCTCGGGAGTTCAAAATGCCACTTTGTCTAACTTTCATTGATTTAAAGAGTGCCTTTGATTTTGTGGAGACAGAAGCAGTCATCGAAGCCCTAGCCAAACATGGTGTTCAAACACAATACATCAGGATCCTCCATGAGCTGTATTATGGATTAACTACCAGGATCTCACCATTCTACAAGGAACTGATCATCCATGTTAAGGAGAGTTTCAGCAGGGTGATACCATCTCACCAAAACTCTTCAGTGCCACCCTCAAGAACATCATGTGATGACTAGAATGGGAAGGAATGGGAGTGAAGACAGATGGTCGGCAACTAAACCACCTCTACTCTGCTGTTGACATCGTTCTAATAAAACCAAACTTTAGCCAAGTGGCACAAATGTTGGTCGACTTCAACCATGAGTGTGGAAGTGTCAGACTTCAGATGAATCTCACGAAGGCAATGTTTATGAAAAACGGTCTCATTCCTGTTGTTCCATTTGCTTTCAATGGAACAACCATCTCTGAGTGCAACAGTTATGTGTACCTAGGTCGAGAAGTCAACATGACAAATGACCTGGCATCTGAGTTGTGCAGGAGGAAGAGAGCAGCTTGGAACACCTTCAAAAGCATTGAAAAATAGCTAAGACAATGAAAAACCTCCGGCTCTGAGCACATCTCTTCGATTCCACTGTTTTTCCTACATTAACCTATTCCTCAGATACCTGAGCCCTAAGAAAACAGGATGAGAATGCTATTCGAGTCTCCCAAATAGGAACTGAAAGAGCTATGCTTGGAGTATCATGCTTCGGTCAAATGAGAGAAAGAATCCGTAGTCTGACCTCCGCCACTGGTGAGGAATCAGGGACATTGTCTTTTTTGCCAAGGCTTCGAAAATCAGATGGGCTGCATACGTAATGTGATTTGGAAATGACTGCTGAACTAGAGCCATTACCGACTGGATTCCACGGGATATCAAAAGATCACATGACTTCCCACCTACAAGATGGTCAGACTTCTTCATCAAGATCCTGAACTATCAATTTGTGGCTCTTTGTATTCCTAGAATGAGTAAACACCATTGGGCTACACTAGCATGTGACAGGGACAAATGGAGACATTACTGGCGCCTACTCCCACAAATCGATGATTAATGGGATGTCAAGTGATCAGATGATTGAATGATCAGCATTTTACTTTTTCATGAAAATTTTCAAACACATGGAGAACTTGAATAATTTGTAAACACATCTATCATATAGATTCTATAATTGTTAACATATTCCTATATATGTTTTGTGTGTGCAGAAATATTTATTAATAGTTTTTTATTGATAATCTCTGTGGAGAAGCATTAATAGGGATTTTCAGACATTATGAATCTTGTGGTACCCAGTCCCTAAAATGATTCTCACCTAATATTCTTACTCTGTGTAGTCTCTTCCACTTTATATATAAGAGTTGGTCTGTCTGATATATAAAATAAAACATATCAGAAGGAATAGTGTGTGATTGTAATGCTAGATTGAAAAAGGCACTAAACCTTCCTCTTTGTAATCTTTCTTGAAAAATTCATGCTGGAGAAGCCAGCAATCATGTCCTGAGCATCCTATAGAGAAATGCACATGATGAGGAATTGAGGTCTCCTGCCAACTGCCATATAAGTGGCCTTGTAAGAAGGTCCTCCAATGTTTATCAAGCATTCAAGTGGACACAGCTTCTCCTATTATCTTGATTATAACTTCCTGAGAGAATATGAGCTCGGGCCTCCTCACCTACGAAAACTGTAAGATAAATATCTGTTGCCTTAAAGCACTGCATTTTGAGGTAATTTGTTACAGAGAAAAATGTAGGTATTAGAGCAGCAATTCATCAATGAACTCTCTATCATGGGAGAACTAACTAGGAAAGAAAGTAGAATTCAATATTTGTACTTGTATTTCCATTTTTAGGTTAATCTTACAATGAAATGCACAAATCTTAAGTAAGCTAGTTATTGAGCTTCAATTAACATGTACACTGAGTACCCTAAATCCCTGTCTTTCATTAAGCTCAAATGTTCCTTAATTGTTATTCCTAGTCAATTTCTGCTCCACCCCTGAGATATCCTTTATTCTGATTTTTCATCAGATTAGTTTTAGAAAATTAATACAAATTGAATATTAAATCTGTACATTTTTCACAAACAACTTCAATTCAGTGCATTGTTTGTAGGAATTGTTCACTGATTATGTTTATTAACAGATTGTTGTGTTCGCTCTTGCTGTTGCTGCTGTAGAGCATTTTCCTACAATAGTCATTTTTACATCACTTTTAGGGGGGAGTGGAGGTTTGGAACATACCTAGTGGTGCTAAGGGCTCACTCCTGGCAGGACTTGGCATATTAGGATGGAACTCAGGTTCACCTTGTGCAAGGCGAATGCCTTCTCTGGGGTACTATCTGACCCCAACAGATCAGAGCCTTTAAATCTCTTAACCTATTGATAGAAAATTGGGTTGTTTCCATTTTGGGGTTACACTGAAGGAAATTGTTATAGACTATCTTGTACCACCTTTTTTCAAAAATATGTTTTTCTTCTCAATTCAAAGATTTTGGAGTAGAATAACTGTCATATGACTTTTATAGGTTAAGATTATAAGAAACTAACAGATGTTCCAGCAACCAATTTGCATTCACTTAATAATGTAGAAAGTTCTGGTTGTGCCACATTCTAACTCATTCTCAACATTTGATATTCTAACTTTGTGAAATTTCAACCATCATGATTACTATATAATGCTTTTTTTGTGTTTCCTCTATTTTTTGGATCAAACTTACTCAGAGGAATTATTTTTTTTTGGATTGTAGGATAATGTCTCATTTCTCCAATTCACATTAAATTATTCATATGTGGATTTTTAATTGGTTTTGATTTATTTTTAAACTTTGCATGCCCTCATCTGAATCAAAAATTATCTATTCAGTTCTCTTGCTTACTTTCAATGTATGTTTTTTTTAAGAATATTGTTTTAAACAAAATTCCAGAAACCAAGCACATATTTACATAAAGTCCCTCTAGACCACCTCTCTTCCTTGAACAAAAAGCCAAATTTGCTGAATTATCCAGATAAACACATAAAGTATGCACATGAATCTCCTTTAGAAATCTTTACTCTGAGATAGATGTCAACCTTCTTTATCTCAAGATCCACTATTTGGAAAACACATGTGTTCAGACTTTCATGAAAGATTATTTCTTAATTTTGTTTTGTTTTTCTCCTTAACTCTTATTTAAATTAAAGTTTTGAATTACATGGTACCCAAATTATAACACTGTAGCACTGTCATCATGTAGTTCATGATTTGCTTGAGGGACCACCAGTAATGTCTCCATTGTGAGACTTGTTACTGGTTTTGGCATATCGAATACACCACGTGGAGCTTCCCAAGCTTTGCTGTGTGGGCAGAATACTCTCATTAGCTTGCCAGGCTCTCTGAGAAGGACAGAATAATCAAACCCGAGTCGGCCACGTGCAAAGCAAACATGCTGCCCACTGTGTCATCGCTCCAGCCCAAATTATATAGAGATCAAACTTCTTGCTTCTCTTCTTCACTACATCACTCCACATACTCAGACTGTACTCAGATGATTTTTTTAAAGAATACTTTTTTCTGCCCTTGGGACTTTTTTTTCTATGAGGATTTGATCTTAATATTTGGCAAAATTTTCTCCACAATTTTGATATTTTTTTTCTCTCTTAATTGTCCCTGGTAAAGTAATGAGAAACTTAGAGGAATCCCTAGATAGGATTTTCCCATGTGCTTTAATTCTTTTTTTTAACACTTCATGATTGTATGGATTTTGGTGGTGAGAGATATAATCCTTCTTATTTTAATTTCCAGATTTCTTAGCTGATAGATTGAAGATCATCAGGCACACGTTATATTTCTTTGAACTGTATGTCAGTATCTAATTTTTATAAATAATAGAATTTCTTTTGAACATATGTGGTGGCAAATCATTTGCCATTACCTTCCCCAGGACATACCCTTTCTGGGAAAAATGTGGAGCTGCGAAGAAGCCACAGTGTCTGCCAACTCCTCATATGGAAAAATGAACACATTCTCAGCAGCTCTTGATGGCCAGATTTCCTGCAAGATGTAGTGTATAATATGAGCTGTTGTACTCTGAAATCAAAATGGGGGCAAAGTGGAGTAATTTGTGTGAGTTTAGGTAAGAAAATAGGTGAAAAGGGGAGGCTCAGGAAAGACAGAGGGGGACAATTGTTAGCAGGAAGAACTTAGAGACTAGATTGGTTATGTTGGAAGCTTGTCACAAGTGATGATGGGGAGAGGGCAGTTAGGACAGAGAAGGGACCACTATGATAATGACAGTTGGAAACGATCACTCTGAACAAGAACTGAAAATAGGTAAAAGGACAAACTTGATATGCTTTTAGTACCTTTTTTGTAAACCATAATGCCCAAATGAAAGAGAGGGAGAGCGAGGGAGAGAGAGAGAGACAGAGACAGAGAGCAGGGACAGAGACAGAGACATAGAGAGAAGTGTCTGTCCTAGAGGCAGGCTGGGGGGCAGGCAGGAGGGAACCTGGGGACATTGGTAGTGGGAAATGTACACTGGTGAGGGGATGGGTAGTGGAACATTGTATCGTTGAAACCCAATCATAAGCAACTTTGTAACTTTGTATGTCATGGTGATTCGATTAAAATAAATAAATAAATAAATAAATAAATAAATAAGAAAGATTTCCAGAGTTGGAGGGAAAGCCGGCTGGGGGATATGTTGGTTGTGATGAAAGAGTCTAGGCTAAGCGCTGGCAACAGGGTTGCTGTTGTCTTGTGCTTTTCCAATCTAATTGCTGGCTTCTTCTGGAAAACATCTCTTTCTCTGAGCCCAATTTAGACTTCCGTTCTACATTTGCCTCCACAGCCAAGCTTCCTTGTCAGTGAAAGGACCTGTGCATCTCTGTGCAGAAGTCCATCACATCCCTACCTACATCAGATGCAACTGTATCCCTGAGGGAAGCTATTGGAAAACGGTTTTTTCCAAAAACTCACTGCTGGATGATGCAGCCGGAAGTGAGAACAAAAAAAAATTCAGATATTAACATCAGGCATAATATCTGGCAACACTTCTTTCACTCTCCATTTATCCCCTTTTGACTGACATTTGTAAAGTGTTTTAACCCATGTATGTTTGACAACCACATGAAACTGGTACTGTTTTCTGCAGTAATGAGACCTCCTTTGAAGGTGTAAGTACAAGTTGCTCATTGATAGGCAAAGAAAGTGCCATGCCACTTCAGAGAAATAAAGTCACTTCTCATTACACACTGAACACGGCAACACATTTCTTTACTGCGCATTATCAAACTCTAGTTCTGAAGGTCACCCTGAAGTTGTAACTATAAAGTGACTGACATCAAAGGGACTATATGTATGTCTAGAGAAAAGCATTCTATCCCTGCTTCTGTCCAGCTTTCAGAAGGTATTGAAATTGCCTGTCAGCAGAAGAATTGGACTTTACCATGACAGAGAGAGTGGGGAGATTAGGGTAGGATTAGGGGAAAGAAAGAATAGAGGGAGAGGAAGAGAAAGAGGGAGTGGGAGAGGGAGAGACAGATAGAAGAGAGAAACCATTTTGGCCAGTATTTACTTTGTTCTATGGTCAGGTAAAGTATCTGCAATGTAACTATAATAAATGCATTGAAGAGTAGCAAATATCGGATGATTTTATGATGACAAAACAGTATTTCTTAAAAAACAGCCAAATTTTATAATCTGAAAACAGTCACCATTTACAAGTCAGTATGTGTTCTTATTAAATTAGAATACTGGATAATGTAAACACTTTTTATCACTTTTATTTAAACAGATACACTTTTTTGTTTCTTTAAGTGGGCTTCAACAGAATTTTGATGTAAAAGTAATATAAAGTTATTTAAATTATTGGTGTGCATAATTGGTTGCTTAGTTACTACCACCCCCAAATTTTTACACATATAGGAATATCTTTTTCTACAATGTTCATTACTCAGATAATATTTTAAACTTTACTATCATTGCAGTAATAATGTACATTTTGCTTTATATTTTTTTTTTGCTTTTGGGGTCACTACCTGGCGATGCATAGGGGATACTCCTGACATTGCACTCAGTAATTACTCCTGGCAGTGCTCGGGAGATCATATGGGATGCTGGGAACTGAACCCAGGTCGGCCTCATGCAAGGCAAGTGTCCTACCCACTGTACTATTGTTCCAGCCCCTGCTGTATAATTTTTAGTCTTATGAGTAGTTGCTCCAGCCGATAGCACAGTGGTAGGGCGTTTGCAACTGGCCTGGCTGAGCCGGGTTCGATTCCTCCACCCCTCTCAGAGAGCCTGGCAAGCTATTGAGAGTATCTTGCCCGCATGGCAAAGCCTGGCAAGCTCCCCATGACGTATTCAATATGCCGAACACAGTAACAAGTCTCATGATGGAGACATTACTGGGCCCGCTCAAGCAAATCAATGAATAACGGGAGGACAGTGCTTCTTCAGTACAGTAGTAAGATAAATATTTTTATGTTTTCTCTCTAAATTAAAAAAAATGCATTATCTTTTTATATTGAATGTTTCTATAATTTTGTTAAAAGGTAAAGGTAAAGGCCCTCCCGTTGATCGTCGATTTGCTCGAGCGGGCCCAGTAACGTCTCCATTGGAGACTTTGTTGTTACTGTGTCTGGCATATCGGATACTCTCGGTAGCTTGCCGGGCTCTCCGAGAGGGGCAGAGGAATCGAACTCAGGTCGGCCATGTTGGCTGCGTGTAAGGTGAACGCCCTACCCGCTGTGCTATCGCTAAAATTGGAACGATTTTGTTATTCCTTTATAAATAACCTCTACCTTGTAGGAATTCTTTTTTCAGATTATCTTTAATTTCTGTGTTCTTCATTTGGAGAAAATATTTTGTGTTTTAAAATACATTAGCAATTTTAAAATGGTTTTCTTTTTCTGATCAGTTGGACATTTATTCCTGACAATAATTTATATTCATCTGCATTTTCTACCAGTTTCTTTATATTTTCCTTTTGTAATTTAACTACATAATTCATTCTGAAATTAATTTTAGTAGAATGAGGTAAAGAACTTGGTGTTTTATTGTTGTTGATTATAAACTTATTTACATCTGACTAAATATCAGTAGATTTTAACTCAATTATATTTCTATGTGAAGATTTAAGTTTATTTGTAGAAAAAATGCAAATTGAGTTTGTGGACTTCTGATCCTGCAGAAATAGCATAAGAAGGACTACATGTTCCTTGTTTCTGACATCCAAAGAAAAATAAGCAAAGTATACTTGAGAATACAATGTAGAGGAAAGATCAAAATGATAGAGACCCAGATTGAATAACAGACAATGGGAATTTTAATGTCTGTTGTTAACTGGCTGGAGTGATAGGCAGAGATAGGGCGTTTGCTTTGCGCATTGCCGACCTGAGTTTGATTCTTCCACCCCTCTCAGAGAGGCCAGCAAGCTACCAAGAGTATCATGCCCGCAGGGCAAAGCTTGCAAGCTATGGTGATATGTCAAACACAGTAACAAGTCTCACAATGGGAGATGTTACTGGTGGTACCCGCTGGAGCAAATCATGAACAACGGGAGGGCAGTGCTACAGTGTTAGTTGTTAACTGTGGATTATGTGCTGCAGAGTTTGCTTAATGTACCTGAATACATGCAAGAGAAACCATCCAAAATGAAATGCTGAGGAAAATACCATCAAAAATTACCAAATCATCAGCCATCTCGAGGTATGAGGGTGAAACTGATGCTATGACAAGCTGAAGCTAACATTAAGTCTGAGCTAAGCCTCAGCTTCTGTTTCCCCAAAGCAGGACTTGCAATTGCTGGTAAAATCCCAGTTGAGTAATTTACCAAGATAAGGAATTGGGCAGTTGGGTCTGGCCAGTCGTGAAGGGTCACTGTACCCTCCTTATAAACTGTTCCTAACCATTGCCTAATTGCAGACCACCATTGTAATATGGCCAATGCTAAAAATAGACCAGTATACAAATTGCTTCTTAACTCTGAATCCTAGATAAACTGCTTGTGATTTGGAGTCATGGTCCTTGTCAAGACTCCACTGTGTCGGATGAGATTTGGACCCTAGCTTGAGCTAGCGCTGGCTCAGGGTAGTAATAAAGTTCTTTTGCTTTTGCATTATCGTGTGTGGACTTGGTCTCTTCGCAATTGGGGATCTGGAACTTGGGCACAACAGAGGGTAACTTTGGACAGTCTAATATACAGGTAACATTGAATTTGTTCCTGAAGGAAAGAAATGAGAAGAGTTTGCAAATTAATGAGTTAAAAAAATTCTGCCTTCTTTATTGAATTGAGCTTTTAGTATATTAATCAGAGTTTATTTAATCATACTAATAGCTCCAACATCTTTGCCATATCTGATACTTTTTTTTCTGTTCAGACTGTTTTTTATTTCTTTTGTGTATGTTTTGTTTTGTGTTCTATATGTGAATGTTTATATATGAGCTTTTGGAGAGAGTATGGAAGTTTATGTCAAGATTTGGCCTTTGGAGAGAGAGAACAAAAGGGAATGCAACAGAGGCAGGAACAACAGAGGCAGGGTGGAATGGGGGGATGGAGGGTGGGAGGGATACTGGGATCCATGGTGGTGGAAAATGGGCACCGGTGGAGGGATGGGTACTTAATCATTGTATAATTGAAATCCAAGCACAAAAATTTGTAAGTCTACAACTGTACCTCTTGGTTTGTCACTAATAAAAATTTAAAAAAAAACATTGGCCTTTGTCTGAATAGATCACTAAATATTAATAATAAGCAGAACTACCCCTATTTAAGTTACAGTAATTTTAGAGTGGATTATAACTGCAAATTCTTATAGCCTATCCTTACTATGATATCTGTAGTCATTTGAGTATTTAAACTTCAGTGCATGAGACAAATCTCCTGAGTTTCTTAGATCTAAGTGATTATATTCATTGCAATTTTATTGTATTTTTAAAAATTTTATTATCTCATTTGCTCAACTATAAGACCCACTGAGTCTAATTTTGCATGATAGTGCAGTGATGGATTCTACAGCCATTTTATCAGATTTCACATCTCAGCCCTGCTACTTAATAGTTTGGAAAATTATAGTCATTTATTTTTCTGAGTTTTGTCTTCAAATGGAGGAAAAAAATTGACTTTCTTCCTGGAGTTTTTTTGATAATTAATTGAATTTGAGAATTGGGAAAGAACTCAAATGCATTACACAGAACATGGTGTTTTATTACAGAAAAAATACCGACCACATGTTACTATTAACATATAATATATATCCAATGTCCTTAATTAAGTTTGTTTCACATATTTGGTAAAATATGTTGATTTACTTGTTTAATAATTTAGTAATTCACCTATGTTTAGGTGACTAAACTATTGAATTATATTTCCAATAATAAAGCCTCATAAATCTCATACAAGCTTCTATAAACCGTTTATAATGATTGGGTAACTCCGCCTGGATTGTTGCAAGGAAGTAATAGGGATAAGCAGAGGAAGCAAAAGCCGTGTTGAGGTTTTGGGATTATTCTCAGAACATGGGGCCTCAGAACTGTTGGCCTCTTACTCAGTGTCTGAGCATTTGTCTATGTAAGTGCTTCTGGACAGGTGACATATCACAAAATATTATTTTTTTTCGATTTAACTGCCTCTACCCTTATCTTTGACCCCAAATCCTTGAGCTGACAATTATTCTGCCAATTCAGCATTTCTATTTGGATATCATATCAAAGGCATCTGAACACAATTATTTTAAGTTTCTCCTGGATATGTTTCTCATCTCTTTCAGACCTTCTCCAGCCTCATAATCACCTTGTTTCACCCACAGGTACCAACTTCCCTCCAAATTCACAATTCCTGAGTGATGAATTCTATTCAGGTTCTCCTTTCTCTTATACTCTAGATTCTCAGTTTATTACATATTCAGGTTAAATTAACTGCAAGAGGCTGGAACATAACAGATAAGGTATTTGCCTTGTATGCCTCCAACCCTGGTTTGATCCCCAGCACCACTTCTGATACTCTGAGTAGGCTCTGAGTGCTGCTGGGCGTGGCCCCAAACAACAGACAAACAAAACCTCATAAACCACCAAGTGCACATTGAACCCATTGCTTTTTTAAAAATTTTTATTAGTGAGACACCATGAGGTACAGTTGTAGACTTACAAATTGTGCTTGGGTTTCAATTTTACAATGATTAAATACCCATTCCTCCACCAGTGCCAATTTCCCACCACTAAAGATCCCAGTATTCCTCCCACCCCCATCCTCCCACCTCACTCTGCCTCTGTGACAGGGCATTGTTCTCTATTCTCTCTCTCCTTTTGGGTGTTGTGGTTTGCAAAAGAGGCATTGAGTGGCAATCATGTTTGGTCTATAGTCTACTTTCAGCATGCCTCTCCCATCCTGGAGGATCCATTGCTTTTTTAAAGTTATTATTATGCTCTTCTTTAACATGTATACTGTGAAAGGCAATTTCCTCTTGTGGACAGTGCTACAGCCTACCACTTTGTCTGTCTGCCTCTAGTCATAGTTCCTCTATAGTGCTCTCCATCTGTTGTAGAAAGATTACAGTGATTCATTGTCTCACTGATTTTGAAAAATCCCCTCATACAATCATCAACAGTTCTCTATTGCTCTCAGAGGGAAGAATAAAATACTTAATGTCATCCTTGAGACACTATGTGGTTTACCCCAGTCTGACTCTAAGACAACATTTTGTGCCTATATTTGCAACTTTCAGTGTATTTAAGTTTTGCATTTTTCTTTCTCTATCTCACTTCTGTTACAAAAGAACAATGCACCCTTTGTATAATGAAATCTCATCTTTCAGATTCCAGCTAAAATTTCTCTTCCTAAAGAGACATTGCCTGATTTTTCTGGCTATACCTCATTAATTTTAGTCTAGATTATTTGTTTTATATGTAGGCATTTTTGGCCTTGATGTATTCTTGGAATGTTTGATTGAAAATCTGAAAACATTTTTTTGTAATGTCAAAGGATACACAAGGGACATATTCACTGTTAACCACATCTTATCTGGGTATCTCTGTGACATTCTAAGTTCTCCCTGTTTAGTTGCTATTTAGTCAGGGCATCATCATCATATGCAGCCTTACCCTGGACTCTGCTACTTTCCTAGGGAGATAATTTAGCAGTAGGTCATTGAATTTTGTTGTAGGAGGCAGTGGTGTTTTCCACAGATTTTTCAGTGTGAATCATTTGCAAGAGAAGCAACGTTTCTTTCCCTAATGTTGGACAAATTTTATGTCATGACTTTATGTTTTCTCCTTTGATTTATTGTTGATGATGGTTGTTGTGTGTGTGTTTCGAATCCAGGACCTTATACATTCAAGACAAGTATTCACCTGCTTAGTTAAATCCTTGTGCTTTTATAGTCTCTACCTACCTCATCAACTATGTTCTATTACAATTAAAAAAAAATAAAAAACCTAATAAGGAAGCAGTACAGATAGAAACATGAGAGTTAAGTAAAGAAAATTAAACCATCTTGCTAGACTATGGACTTTATTTATTTAAAAATAGTCTGACTTTGATCACTAGACTCAGGGGTAAGGACCTTCACTATTTCTCATCTAGCACTCAACAGTGTTTGATATTTAAAAGACTTCTTGGAATGCATTCCATAAGTATTGCCAATGATCTAAATGGAACACCTTACAGCTTCTTTTAAACCATCCTTCCTAACAACAGGTAAATAAAACTATAAAAAGCACATATTATATCTACTGTGTATGGTTATATATAAATTAGTTTCAGTTTGTGATTTGTAGTTGCCAGGAAACACTGAGAACAGCAATTACATTTTATTAACATATTATTTAGCACTTATATATTTGTAATCAGTGGAGCAAATTGTGATTCTAATTGTGATCCTCTGATGTAAGTTACCATATAATGATAAGTAGGGTCATTTAAAAACTATAATTACTAGACACTTATGTTTAAGAACAAATCATTTGCTGTTATTTGGGAAAAAAACAAATTAGGAAATGAAATATTCAGTTTTGTCCTTTTTGACAACTAGTATATGGTGACTGACAGTTTAGTAGGAAATTCTGGCAAGACTTACCTTGTATCATGGGACATATCTGCTTGACTCAATCATCTGATGATATACTAGCATAGAGTTAATTCAATGCACATCAACAGGCAAAATTCTAAGGTTCTAGTGCATTTAATTTTTTTCTTTGAACATGGCTCATCATATTCCTCCACAATGGAAAAAAAGTACACTGAACATAGTTGCAAGAAAAATAATAAAGCTTTTCTACTCCACTGCTCTTCCTGAACTAACATATGACTCAGAGACCCAGGTCCCACGAAAACAGGATAAGAACGCTATTCAGGTCTCCCAAAGAGGAATCAAAGAGCCATGCTTGGAATATAATGATTCACCCAAGTGATAAGGTATCTGGAGTTCTGACCTCCACCAATGATCAAAAATAAGGGACACTGTCTCATTTGCCAAGGCGTTGAAAATCAGATGGACTGGACACATAACGCAATTCAGAAACGACCACTGAACCAGAGCTGTTACTGACTGGATTCCACAGGATGTCAAAAGAATGCCTGGCCACCCACCTATGAGATGGTCAGACTTCTTCATCGAGACCCTGAACAAATGGTTTAAAAATGGTTTAAGGCTCTTCATGTTCTTGGAACCAGCAAATGCCATTGGGATACACTAGCACGCAACCAG